ATATATATATATATATATATATATATATATATATATATATATATATATATATATATATATATATATATTTCATATACTATGTCATTGTTTCCAACAAACTGTATATATATATATATATATATATATATATATATATATATATATATATATATATATATATATATATATACACACACAGTTTGTTGGAATCAATGACATAGTATATGAAAAAACCTTAGCTGCATTAAGAATGTAAATAATAGATAGCGTATTGGTATTATCTCATAAAAAAATAAAAGCTTCAATCTTGAACATTGATTAATCAAATTGCATGGAAATTGATAGTGTATGTGTATTTTTCTAGGGCAGTACACTGATGCTACAGCAAGGAGACTAGGCATGTTGAAACTTGGTGCAGCCATTAAGGCTAACATGCAGGCTGATGACAGTGTCATTGATAATGAGGTAATTACAGAGATTGGCAGGGGGTGAAATGGTTTGCTTTTGTCTCCACTGCTTTATTGAATTTTTAAATTTTATTTTTATTTATTTATTTATTTATTATGGTTGTTGTTAATATTTTGGGGGGAGGTAGAAAGGGATATTCTAATGCAATGGTGAGGCAAATTGTACCTGACCCCCCCATCCCCACCCCCACCCCCACCAGCCTCCATTGCTTAATTTGGTCTAATTTTCATGGCTGTTGCCTTCTCAGGTTCTCTACTATACCAACAGCATAGGATTTCTGGAGGTGGACAGTTTGAGTGACCTCTGCAAGTACACAAACACTAAGAAGGAAAATTTCAAGGTGTGTACAGGGCAATATTGTACGTGTTAAGTTGAGATTGAAACAGCTCATTTTTATAAAACCTGAAATTTCAAGGTACTTAACTGTTAACAAACTTTAAAAAAATTGTCAGGCGACTTTATCTGGCACGCCTCCCCACGTGTCGTCATGACCGGTCGAATTGAGCCGAGATTTAATGACTGTGCCCCTGCAGGGACGACTCGTGGGGAGGCATGAAGGAGGATTAAGACCATTACAGGATTAAGCGGTCTTCCTTTCATGTAGGTCTGCCATATTTAGGCCGTGGACCAGCTAGCACTCAGCTCTTCTCATTCTGAATGGCCTCTAAAACATCTCAGTCCTTTGAGTTAACCATTCTCAAGTCTTTGCTATCAAGCATATGTACATGTATTTATATTCATTTCAACTGCTGAGCATTTATATATTTTTCTTTTAACATATTATTTTATGCATAATCATTTTAATTGAATTCTCTAACATAAGCATTTTAATTTGTTATCTGTAAAATTATTTTTAACAAACACATAGTGAACTTTATAGATAATTAAAATTTTACTCTCCAGATAGCATACCCGTCCAATGCATATGTTGATGGCATTCCCAGTGCAGTTAATGAGAAACCATATTATCACTTTGCAGACAGGTAAGATCAAAAAAAAAAAAGGGGGGGGGGATGAGAAAGTGGGGGAGGGGGTAGTTAGAAAGAGGGAGAGAGAAAGAATAGAATGCAGAAAAGCCGCTTTTCTCTTGCATGGATTACATCCTTATACTGTAATACTTATATATACATGCGGTGTTGATCATTTTAGTTAAATTTAGAGTACCACCAATGTTTTTATCCCTGTCTTTATTGCTACAGCAGTTAAATGATGAACAAGGAGACGTCAATTTGAAATACATTGTAGGAAGTCGTATATTTTCAGGTTCGGGCTCTCAAGATGCTATCTCCATGACACTGTTCCCAGCCCTTTCTCCCGTAGCAAGGTAACAGGAGATTGTCTCCAAAAATTAAGACTGGGTTTCCCATACCTAGATCGATCTAACAGGATTGATCCATCTTTGAGGGGTTTCTTGCTTAAGTGGCTTAGATGTCTGGCATGCCTACTGAGGCTGCTAAATGATAATTAATCATCCCAGCAGCATCAGTAGGTGTGACAGACATCTAAGCTGCTTAAGATGATTCCAATCTAGCGAGAATCCCCTTGGAGATAGATTGATCCACAGTTAGTACGATAAGGTCTGGGAATGGTCCCGAAGTACTCCTGTCACATTTAAATATGTTAATATTGTGTTAATAGTTATGTTTAACAGGTTAATACGCCTCTTGTTTCCAATGTACTCGTATAATCACCAGCTTTTCTGTGTTCTAATCAACGCCAAGAGGAGGCATGTTAACCTGTTAATCTGATTGCATTAAGCAAGAATCCCTGCAAAGTTGGATCAATCTAAGTAGACCACTGATGCCTATGGGAATGAGCCCTAAACTTGGACAGCTTTATTTAGCTAGAATTAAAAGCAAATTTTTTGGACATTTGTTTCTTATTAAATGAGCAACGATTTTTAAGGTGATAAGAATCCCATACAGACATGCTTTTGTGTTTTACCTGTTTTGGAAAACTGCTTTTGGAAGAAATTGTCATCAATTTCAGTTTATTGTCTGCCGAGGTAAACAAGATGGCCGCCCAGCTTCCTCTCCCATTACCCTGCTGTACCTTGGCAGTCATAGATTGGCCGCCAAAAGTCTCGGCACAGTGTCCCATGGCGGCAGTGTGATAAAACTTGAATCTTATGATATGGGTTTACTGGTGTGTTCCTGGACAACAGAAGAAGGAGGTGGGCTGACGATCAAAGTAGAGAAAATGTTTTATCTAAGTTAACTCTAGACTTATACCAGGGGCAGATTCAGATATTTTTTGACAGTCTTCCAAATTATCTTTGTTCATCCATTCTCCATTTTCGACCATCTTCCAACAGAAAAAAATCAATGCCCATCAATTTAAAATTGAAAAATTCTGACCATCTTCTGGAAGACCCAGATAATGGCTTCCATCTGCCCCTGATTGATTATTTATTTGCTTTTTCTATGAATTTTCCAGTATGTCACGTCCCAGACATGTCAACATTGGGAATTCCAGTGGATGTAAACAAGCTACACAAGTATGCAGCAGACGACATTCCCTATATCCCATCTGCTTACAACCATCTCAAAGTACACCGGGCAGTAGGGAAGCTTGTCAGGGCTGTACCAAAGAAGTCTTTTGGATTTCTTAGTAAATTACTACCGGCCGATCCTCTTTATGACTGCATGTAAGTTTAATTTTTTTTTTTTTTTTACGCCAACACAAATGAATTCTCAAAAGCCAAAAAAAAAGTGCTGGCAAGGAGTGGATTAGATGCCAGAAGTAGCATACGTACATGTATATTCACTAACACAGCATTTTGCTCGTGGCAAATTTGAAGTTAGTTTGCTGCAAACTTTTCATTTTGCTGACAGATATACACAGCATGCTGCATGAAAGCACCATGTACACATATTTTTCATTATCTTGGTCATCTTATTTCAGAGAGCCAGAGAAATTGAAATTCCCTGAGAAAGAATTATTTATTCATCTCGACACCATTAAAGATTCTGGATTTTCCAATCAGTTGGTGGCAGGCAGCATATTTGATGTGTTTTATGCCAAACTAAAGACACATACTAACAAAAGGGAGAGTAATCCTAGAGCATTTTATGTGTTGAATATTATTAGGTAAGTACAACATGTATTTACCCTTTTGGTGCTTGTCCTTTAGGAAATTGGTCCAAAACCCTACAGGATCCTTTTGGGCATATTTCCTAGATAGAAATTCCATAAGCTGTCCCATTAAGTCCCAAAGAGTCCTCTAGAATTCTTATAGAATTCTGTAGTCTTTTTGGATTCCTATAGAGTCCCACAGAGTCCTATAGGAGATCCTATTGGGGATTTCCGTAAGGGTAGCTCTTTTAGAATGCAATGGTTTAGACATTCTGATAACAGAGATAAGTTCCCAGTCACCTTTTTTATTATTTTTTTTATTTTTATTTATTTATTTTATTTTATTTATTTATTTATTTATTTATTTTTGTGAGATAATTTTGTATTCAGAACTTTAAAAAATGTTTTCAGAGAAGGTGACGCAAAGAAAGAAAAACCCAGCCCCTTGTTTGAGGAAAACACAGGAAGAATGCTGGCGGAAATGTTTGGATCAGGTACATACACGAATAATAAGTGTAAATGTGATGAGAAATTCCAAAGAGATTAATTTAGTATACATTTATTTGTTTGTTCTATAAAGTAGTGCTATCAGATTTGAAAATCTTCTGATATGATTTTCTACTATTTTAGACAGGCAACTCGTGAAGAATTAACTCTTAATTGTTAATTTTTTTTTTTTTTTTTTTTTTTTTTTTTTTTTTTTTTTTTTTACAGATGATTGCACCCCACCAGATGGCAGTTCAGCCAAGAAAATCTCCATCCAGAGACATCTCACATTAGACCCAGAGAAGTCATTTGAAGAAAACATGGTTGTGCTTGGTGTGTACAAAATCGTTGCTGTACAGACTACAGAGTCTCTTTGTAATCCTTACTTATGCTCAGATAGTGTNATACTTTTGTCCAAATTTTGTTTGGATATCAATGCAGTTGTTCTCTTTAGAGAATTTTGTGGCAAGGCACATGTATAGTAATTTTAGTTTCTGTTGGATAGATTTTCAAAATCATGTCAATTAAGGGAGATGTTCAGACATACTTTTTGGCAAGTTCTTTATTTCATGTCATATAGAGACTTTCACCATTGTTTACAGCAGCAGGTATTTTTATTTTTAGGTTTAAACAGTGATGAAGAGATAGACGAGTATATGAGAACCAATTGGTTCAGTGGTGCCCTTGCTGTCAAAAGAGGAAAAAGGTAAAATGTACCACAAATTATTTATTATTATTATTAATTTATTATCATTATTATTTTAAAATTTTGAACTTCATACTCAGTATAGGTCTTTATTATTCAGTTCAGTTTTATGTGACTATGCTTTTTTTGCATGTTAAAACTTTAAAGCCTAAAAACAATTGTGTTTCTGTGTATTGGTCATGTAGTAATGAGCCACCGACTTAGACCCCATTCCCAGAGATTAGATCAATCCAAACTAGATCAACCTAACTCCCTGGGGGTTCACGCTAAATAGTTGTCAGTGGAGCGGGCACGAAAGTTAATTACCCCCTTACAGCTTGTAGTAGGCGGGATGGACATTTAAGCTGACAGTAATCTAGTGAGACTCCCCACAGGGATAGATCGATCCAAAATCTATGGGAATACGCCCTTAGACTAAAGCTTGTTGTTATTTTTATTCTATATAATCTTTAATTCTTTAGGCAGCAGATGATGTGCTCTATAGAACCCGACCCATGCCTGTCGCTAAACAGATTCATGGAGCGTTACATCACTTGGCGGTATGGGAAAAACTGGCATCCGTACGCATTTGGGCCATGTAGCTATCACAATGTGCTGCGCTCCTTCAGATGTGTGGTTTAGGATGGTAGATGTGTCAGTAACTGAATGATTTGATTAGCCTAAGCAACCAAGAAACCTACTGCACTCATATAAACATATGGTATTGCAAATGGTAGATGTAATTAACTGATTAGTTTGTTTAAACTTAACAACATTTAAGCAAAGGACCTGCTGCGCTCATCCAAACATGGTAACGAGGATGATCAATGTGAATAGTCGGGTGCTCATCATTTGCAAGTTATCGGTCAAGGTGCCTGAAACCTGTTCAGTTCCTACAAGCGTATAAACAGAATGGCTAATGTTATTGGCACAAAAACAGCTACAAAGATAATGGCTCATTTCAGAGAACTGATTAAGTGCTAGATTAAATTGAAAAGATTTTGCTCTTATATTTTTGGTTATTGGTTTATAAATATTTGTGTGCTCTTGGATTGAGATTGCACTGTTGAGCAGCACTTAATTTTTTTGTTTTGTTTTTCTTACAATGGGAAATTGTTATGTGTATGTTCAGTGTACAGGTGTGTTATAAGAAAGTATTTTTCATATCCTTTATTTCTCAAGACTCTGTTTCTCAAAAGTCATATTTCGGGCTGAAATCTTAGTCTATATTTTGTAATTTAAGTTGCATTCCACAAAGAATCTCAAAGGTTGCTCACTGTACTTGTTCTAGTCAACAAAATGTAACAGGTACTATGTGTGTAGATAAGTTTTTTTTTCATTGGGTTTTATGGTATTTGGAAGCTGTTCAAGAGAAAGCACCTAGTAAACTGGATTGTGATTGCCAATTTTTTTTTTTTTTTTTTTTTTAGATTATCCTTCATTTCTGAAGGCATTATGCTTTCTTTGAGGAAATGGAATCATTATTCCCTGCTCAAAAACTTAATTTCTAATGCCAAAGAATATTGGAAAGAAATTCTCTCAGATTAAACAAAGTTAAGAAAAATTATAGTCAAAACAATTTATTTTTTTTTAATTTATTTGTATGTTGAAGGTTATTTTGGAGTTTGAAAAACTGTAAATTGATGGTCAATAAAGACTAGAAAATTGTTAAGAATGCCTTGAAATTATCATTTTGTATTATTTCTCCAGAATCCTGTATCTCTTCACTTCTCAAATTCAGTACATTTTGGCCATTTTCTTGTTAAGAAATTCAGATTTTTTAATACTCTGTGTAGTAGTTGTGTCTTATCTTTTCTGATCCCTTTTATGACATTTCAGATTTCCTCAAAATACATAATTAATTTCTCTTTCATATACAATGAAATTAGTCATACATGGTCTCCTTTATCAAACCACATACAATTAATTTCATAATGCTTAGAAAATTTTATAATATTGTGAATGCACTTTCTTGCACATAATCAAATTAGAAATATTTGATAAAAATATATTTATTTACAAATTACCAAGAATACTGATTACATAAGTCAAGATTTACAGGGACATTCAGATATTTGCTCTTGAATTCAAGATTGGCATTTTAGATAATCTGTGCCTTGGAAATTGATGTCAGAAGCATTTGGGGTTATGAAAGAAATAACATGCAGCTTCAGGTGGAGCCACTTTCCCTTCAGTCCTCACCCCCATCCTTATTCTGTCCATAGGATAATTACACTGGGGCATGTGGAGCTGTAGAAGACTTGGGAGGGTTTGTGAAACTGAAACTGCTATTCACACTAGGTATTTAGCAACTGACATGACTGGTTTTATACAAGAAAAGGAAAAAAGTCTCCTCCTTTTGGCTGCACCTGCATCACCTTAAAATAACCTTTTCCTCCCATAACAATGGAATAATGGAATGGTTCCCCCTCCCTTCCCCATCTCTCTGGAGAGGTGGGGTGGGATAACATTCATATATTTGAAATACATGCTACTGCTGTTTGACTCACTAGAATATTTTTTTTTTCTAGAAACCCCATTACATCTCTTGCAACAAACTTTTTTCACAATGATTTGTAATACTGAAACAACCACACAGCATATAGCATTGTTTATTGGGTTCATTGTTTACTTCTTCTTTTTCTTTCCAGACTTTTTGCCTTTCTTTCCCTTCTTCTTTTTCTTACTGTAAGGACCAAGACCTCGTCGAACCATAACACCTCGCCACCATGCTTGTAGCTAAAGATAAAAAGATGTTAATTTTTGCTAATTTTTTGTTTAAAAAAATCTGAAAAGAAAAACACACAGCATAAAAGAATCAACATTAATTAAATTTATAACCTTTATATAAATTTCTGCCATAATTAAGAAATTTCAGAAATGAAAAAAAAATTATTTGGATCTCTAAGAGTATGAAAAAATTTGATCTCAACTTTATTTTTCCACATTTACTGCAGTTTTCACATCAAGAGGCTTACCTTTGTGGCATTCTTGAGTTCAATTTCCTCTTGTTGAGCCTTCCTTCTGGCTTTTTCCTTGTCTATCCTGTCCTCTACAACTACCTGTTCATACTCTTCATATCTGAAATTTAACAAAATTTTTAATACCAAATTTAAGCCAGGCGTCCATTCTATTAACCAGAATAAGAGGAGGAGAAATGGGGGGTAGAGGCGGGGGTGACCTCCCCCCCCCTTCAACTTCCTCAACAAAATGGACCATTCAGCTACACTTTCCATAATACTAATATCTCCTTAATTTTTGGATTTGTGACATTTTAATATATCTATATAATGGTAACCATAACAAAAAAAGAGCAACATTTTACGAACTTTTTCTACAATTGCCTTAACTTCATTAACTTACAATTTCTTCAGCTCTGCTATTCTAGCCAGATCTTTCTTCTCGGCATCTTCCAACACCTTCAGTTTGATCTGCATGTCATCCACGTCTTTCTCGTACTTCTCCATCCAGTATTCCACCTTCTGGCTCAGGATCTTCTGGTGGGTCTGTAGGAAGGACTCCACCTCCGCGTTCACCCGCGTCTCCTCATCAATTTTGTTTCTCAAGCTCTGGAAACCAAGAAAGGAAGAAACGTTTGGATTATTTCTACCTAATTTAGTGTTTTGTGTAACTGATTTGGTGACTGGGCCACCAGCATAAAGAAACTAATCTGTCAAGTCACCCCCCCTCCTTTTCTCTTTCTCTCTCTCTCTCTCCCTCCCTCTCTCTCTCTCTCACACACACACACACACTCTAAATAACTTGCCCAGTCACTAACCCTCTCTCCATTTCTCACATACCAAGAAACCCACTTTAGTTTGTCTTTCATCTCTTTCTCAGCCATGGTACATCTCTTCAGGGTCTGAACCACCAGTCATCTCCCTCCATCCCCCACCCCCCTGCCTTCCCTTTCTCAAACACACCAACTTGTCCAGTCACTCACCTCTACTTCTCTCTCCTTTCTTTCTCTCTCTCTCTTTCTCTCTCTCTAACACACACACACACACACACACGCACGCACGCACAAACACACACACACACACAAACCCACCTCTAGCTCGTCCTTCATCCCTTTCTCAGCCATGGTGCATCTTTTCAGGGTCTGTGCCACGGAGACCTGGGCACACTTCTGGATGTACTTCCCTTCCATGTTGGTTTTGGCCTTCATCTCCTGAAGCTGATCCTTGAGATGGGCGATCATCTCATTGCGGTGTTGAATCTCTACTTCTTTTTCCTTCTTCACGTCAACGAGTTGTTTTTGAAGGGTTTTCAGTTTACGCCGGCCTTCCTCTTCCCTGAATAAAGAGAAGAAATTTAATTTTTTAATTTTGTCAAAAACAAATCTATCTTCTTCCAGAAGTATTTTTCAAGTTCCTAAAATATTTCACCATAGTGTGGAAAAACACTTCCACAGAAAACAATAGAAGATGGTAACTAGAGGGGTATGTTCTTGCATGAAAATGTCAACATTTGCCAAAATATGAAAGTGTGTGAAGATAATTTACTTTTACTGCCTCAAGAGGGGTACACAGAGAGTGCAGAGCTTCATCAAAGCAGTTCAATTCTTACCATTAGTTAATTTATTCTGGATCAACACAAATATCTACATAATTCTAATTATGTTAGACCAGTTCTTACCTATCCTAAAAATTTTATAAAAGTCCATCCATAGGTTTTTTAGTTGGGCTGTTAACTAACAAATCAACAAAGGCAAAACCTAACCTATACCTCCAGTAATAGGTTTTACTTACTTTAATATTGTGTCCTGAAGTCCTGTCTTCCTGTTTCGCTCCTCTCTCACTGCGGACACCAAGGACTCATAAGTCCCCCTGTGTTCAATTTCTGCCAAGGTGTTGCACACCACCCTCTCGAGGAAGGCGCGATCCTCTTGGATCTTCGTTATGTTGTCCGAAGTGAGTGGGTTCTGCTTCAGACTCCGTCCAAAGACATGGGTGCTGTTTTTGAGGTCGCCTCCTGTTGCCTGGATGTCACGATCTGTGTCCATCATTCTAGAGAGGAGGAGTGTTTGTTACATTACACAATCATTTCACGGTATGATAAATAATATATATGGTCTCTCTTCATTGTTAAATATAAGTAATGGTGTCAGAAAAGTATATTATTCATTGTTTGTTTCACAAAAATATAAAAGTACATTCAAGTTTTAATTGTGCACCAATTATAACACATTTTCATGTAATTTCCTGAAAATTATAACTATGAGTAGAGGGGAATATATTTTCGTCACAAAATAAATTCTAAAAATCCCAGGAAGCAAAAATCATAAAGCTACCAAACTTGGACATCTTCCTCCCACTCACTTTTGTAAATTGCTCTTTGTCCTGACATCCCCCTGCCTCAGATCTTGTTTCTTTGACATTAGACTCTCATACTTGCTCTCCAGCTGTCTCTGACCCTCAACCAGCTGGCCTATCTCTTCTTGAACAAACTGAAAGAAGAAACTGGTCATGTATTTTTTTCATACTGACACATTATGATTTGTTAGAAGTCTATATTTCAATTTTACCATTTTTAAATAAACTTTGCTGTAATGTAAATGATTTTAAAGGGTTAATGGCATCCCAGCATGAAATAAAAAAAATTAACAAACATCATGAGGTTAAATTTATAAGTGTCTGCATAAAGAATCTGCACCCTTCCAAAAAAAGGAACATGGTCTTTATTATTATTATTATTATTATTATTATTATTATTATAAACTGAACATTATTTAATAATTAATCCCTACCTCGTCAGCGTCTGTCCTGTTCTCATAGCTCCCTGGCATAATTTTGCCCAGAATTGCCAGCTGATCTGCACAGTCCTCCAACACCGTGGAGACGTGAATGGCGTCCACTCCTGTCAACATCGTGCTGCTATCACTGTAACATACAAGCAAAATGTCATTCTTGTAAATAATTTACTGAAAAAAAAAAGATTATTTTTCTAGAAACATTCTCACATCTAGACTCTGAAACAGGAGTGACGTTTGAATAAATTAGCGAAATGTATATCAACAGATCTGAATGGGACATGCTACTGAAAATCAAAACAATATGATTCTAACATAATCAAAATATATGCCCAATCTTTTATCCATGATACATCGATCCGATTTTCATTGACCTCAATGACTTGGGATTTTGTACTCAGCACATAGCATATTTACAAATAATTTCGAGTACAAAATCGTTATTTTATAAATACCCTACTTCACCTTTCCATTTGCGATACTAAAACAATATTTCAAGTTTATACATACCTTTAAAAACTATGAAAGAAAGGTAGACATTTTCTGTCGGCAACTTCTTCCAAGTTGTTTACTGTGGTAACCACAGCTACTGCGCAGCAAAGTGCGCATCACCCTGGTCCATACGATCCGGAAAGATAGGCTGAACGAAATGCTCTTACATGAAAATGTCAACATTTGCCAAAATTTGAAAGTGTGTATGAATAATATAATCTTATTCTTCGATATTTTAGATCGTATAATAAGTTGGATATAATTTTCAATCTAACATCTACTTTTGAAACAATTTGGTTTGTCTTGAACGGAAAGAGTACTTATTATCCCACAATTCCCTGCTCGCCCTTTTCCGGCCATCTTGGAAAGGTACTCGTGAAATAAGTTCGACAACCACGAAAATAAACCTAAATTATTGACTTATTAAGCCCTGTTCATAAAAAATAAAAGTTGATTGAAATAAAGTGGTATGTTGTTATTGTTAAATGTTAGTGTGGGCTATTGATGTGGAGGGCTGTTTAAGATAAACTTGGATTCTCCGTGAGATGTTTCTTTGGAGTGGTGGTATTCGTGTGGTAAATTAGGGCTCACGACTCTATTTTTATTTCAGTCGCTGATCATGGCTGACCAAGAAGCCAAGCAAAATCCTCCTAAGAAATCTGGAAGGTAAGCCCAGGCATAATTTGGTCATTTTAAACCCGTTGTCGCGGCCACATTCTTTGATGCCACAACAGCTCTGTTATATTTGTAGATGCTAAACGACGATGGTGTGTTTTACCATTGTTTACTTTATCATACGTTTATGGCTATTTCAACAATTGCTAATCTATATGTATAATCTATATTTATTTATCTATTTATTTGTCTGTTCTATGTTCTAGCCACTAGTATCGTATTGTAATTGATTATACCTTTATGTGAAGGTGTTTGTCAATAAAGAATCTGTTGTCGTTTATGGCTGTCAAAAATTCTTAGATTTGTCTCACAATTTCTTGCAGTATAGAAAGGGGCAATGGCTAGTTAGAATCAGCATTAGTTCACATTGAAATTATTAGCATGAATATGAAGGTTCACATTTCTTTTTAAACTTAAATAAATGAAAAGGTAAATGAAAAAAAATAATAAAAGAAAGAAAATGGGTAAATGAACTCATGTTTTGAAGAAACTTTTTTAAGTTTAGTTAAAATACATTTACAGAATTTGTTGAAACACAGTGGGCCTTACGTATAAGGTAACAGTTGAGACTTTTTTATATACCTATATATATATATATATCACTTATTCAAGTTTAGTGAGTGATATGCATTCCCTTAATAAGGATAATAATCCTCTTCATTGCATATTTTGCTGAATGCTTCCAGGCTTTACGTTAAAGCAGTCTTCACTGGTTACAAGCGTGGCCTTCGTAACCAACATGAGAACACATCTCTGCTGAAACTGGAGGGGGTGACCACAAAGAAAGCCACAGAGTTTTACCTGGGAAAGAGGTGCTGCTATGTATACAAGGCTAAAAAGTAAGTTGCTGTTTTGAAAGTGTTTAAGTTGCCAATGATTTTGTTGAAATTCAACATATTTAGGACAGTATTTTAGTGAATTTCAGTTGAAATTATGAAATCTGTGCCAGGTTGGATCTATTCACTGGACAAAAGGAACACTTTTAAACTGCATTGTGATAACACTGGAATGATTATGGGGCAAATGGAACTGAGTATACTGGTAATGAATCATGCATATTTGCCTAATTGATACCTGAATTGTAAATTTTATGAATATAACCCACATGTAAAGAATTTTATGTATTTACCAAATGCAAATTTTTAATGCGTTCAGTATAATTGAGAAATATTGAATTTTAACCTGTCACCAACAATGATGAAGATTCAGTAGCCTCGCTGTAAGTTTCCTTCAAGGAAGCGGTGCAGACATTTCACTTTCTGAGTTGGTTTTTAATTGACTTTCCCATATGAGAGCATTAAAGAACAATACCATTTATGAATTTGGTTGTTCAAATCTTGTGGAATAATTCAACAGCAATGTAGAAGATTGTTTGGAATTATAGACAATGTTCTAAAATGTAATAGCTTCTTATGATATAGACAATATTTCTTTTGATTAAATTGGCATTGATTTATCTTGGGTTAAAGACGACCAAAATTTAGGCCTAATGATTTTTTTGCCAGTGTTTGGGCTGAACTTCCTGTTGAGTTTTTATTTTTTATTTATTTTTTTAACAGGTCAATTCTGTGCATAGTTCTTTTTGTAAAATGAAATCATTTTTGTCCACAGTAAGTCTGCCTGCCCAGGCCATGATAAAGCCAGTCGTATCCGCGTCATCTGGGGCAAAGTGACCCGGCCTCATGGCAACAGTGGAGCGGTCAGGGCAAAGTTCAGGAAAAATCTGCCGGCGTCAGCCATGGGGAAGAGAGTCAGAGTGGTAAGTAGAAGACCATTCATTCAGTTCATTCTTTTTTAGGTTATAGATGTAGCTAGTTGTGGATTTTTAAAGAGAGAGATGGATGTGTTTTAGCTTAGTAAAAATGATTGGCATGTTAATTTATAATTATGATGTTTGAACCCACAATATTCATATGAAGTAGTACTTTATCCGGTCAACATTGCACAGTGAAAAAAATACAGTAATTACTCAATCTTTTCAATGGGCAAAAATTATCAAACTTTCAGATACTAGTTGTTATTTTTAACTTAAGTGAAAAAGACTGTATACAAGAAAATGGGAATAATTATATGTACACTGCGTAATTTGCAACTTCACTTTAAACATTCTTTTCATTTTTTTCAGATGCTGTATCCATCAAGAGTTTGAACATCTTAAACTCTGAATTTTTACTAGAGACTGGTCTGAAATTATGTATAAAGAAATAAACAATGAAATAAATTAAGTGAAATGTTTCACTTAAAAACGAACATAAGTTAATGGATATTTGTGTTCAATGAAAGCTCTGGGAGCCATTAGCAGTGTGACAGGAAGGTTGGACCTGGGAGCCAAGATGGGGAAGGGGGAGGTTAAGGAAGCTAGGGTTCCTGTGACAGAGCCAACTGTGTGTTTTCTCCGTGCTTGTTAGTAAACTGCAAGCATCTGGTTTATTACATGTCAACTCTACATCAAAGGACATGAGGCTCATGCCCAATGAATCTGTCATTCTACATGGATCAATCCAACTGTGTAGGCTTGGATAAGGAGATATACACGTCTCCTCTTGGTTCCAATGCACATGGATAATCACCAGCTTTTCTTTGTTCTACTTAATGCCAAGAGGAGGCGTGTTAATCTGACTGTATTCAGCAAGAGTTCTCGTCCAGTTGGATCGATCAACATAGACTGATAGTTTCATTGAGAACGAGCCTCTTGTAACATCAGGTCATGACCAATGCCCTAGGTACCCAAGGTCGTACACAGACACAAAATTTTCATGTTCATGTTGAATAATTTTATCCCTTCCAGCATTTTTCCTTACAACCTTTAATAGGATACCTCGGCAAAGTTCCTGCCCTCTTCGCATTCTTAAATCGCGCCCTCCACATAGAACAGCACGATTTTTTGTTTTTATTTGTTTCTGTACAAATAAGACCCGCTTTGAATTAAATGCATAACTGCAGTGCCCTCGCAACTGGTACCGGAAGTGACAATTAAGTTCAGCGACAGTGGGACGACCTTCATGTAATAATAATTATTATTATTATCAGCTAATCAAAGTAACAGAAATAACATACAAGATTTGTTTAAAGAGATACAAGATTTGATTAAGGAGAACAATTCAAGTGAACAGGAGCGTCAGAAAGCGACTTGCCAGGAAATTCAAACTACACGAAATATTCAACGGTGGATGCATATTCCTGTGCACACTTGTCGTATATTCTTTAGGCCTATATATCAATATATATGGCACTAGCAATTCCACATAGACTGTGCAAGATAAGTGTATCATAAAGAGGGTCCATGGGAGGGGGGAGTGATCACAGCACAATGGATTAAAATCAAATCACGGTAAATAAAACTATCCATATTTCATATAAAATGCGAGTCCGGCGAGTAGAAAATCGCGAATCATTCTGTTTCACGAAGGACAGGGAATAAAAAGCCGCATTCGCGAGTCACGGGAATGGGGTGCTTCGCGAACCTCGCTTAATACATTTTACTTATTATGGGAAATAAAAAATGACTTTTACGGGTAACGTAGATACCCAGTGGGACCCTCGAGAAACGTTGTCTGCATATAATTCACAAATGCCTGCAGCGCCCATGACCAGGCCAACAAACTTACCAACTGCATAGATATTCAGGAAATATGATGGCTCGATCTTTTCAACGGGGAAAACAGTGGATTTTACAAATACTGTATTTTTCAAAGTCGTATATTCTTAGGACATTCCTGCTGAATGGTAGCAACAAAATGAAAAGGATACTACCTTACAGTTACATACTATACAGTAAAAGCAATTTAGATATATATTTTCAATAATTTAAAAATGTGTCCTGAAATACTGAAAAGAAAGGAATGGTTGTTGACATTAGCATCATTTTACCCTGTGGCCCCGATGAGCTACACTGATACATCTCCTCATTGAAAAAATGGAGTTATTACCATATATACGAGGCGATATACTAGTAAGCTTGAGGCATATTGAGCACAAAATGAGCGTAAGACCTTTATAAAGCAAATAAAAGAAAAAAAAAACTCGGAGATTTCAAAACTTTTATTTTCCAATATCCCCAAGTATACCATGTCCGAATCCGTCCTCAGAAAAACGACCCATAAACGCGTTTTCAGATCTAAGGATCTATTTTTACAGTTCCTTTCGTAAAAGGAAAGGAAATGTGTACAGTCAAAGGCGGACAAAAATAATGAATCGTGGGAAATGAAGTGGTGCAAAAATTGAACCATTCCATGCACGGCCGTTGTAGGCTGCACACTTGTACACACTAGGCGTACTGTACATCCTTTATTTCTGCACACAAATATAAAAAAGCAATTTCACGTTGACTATAAATGACATACTATGTGTAGGCTTGTGTGCTAGTTCACATAAATAAAATGCCCGTGGCGACGCTTACCGCCCTTGAATCGTATACAGACCTGTATACAGAGCTGTACAAGTCTGTAAATGAAAACAGTATGGCAACTGCGGCGAGTGCAGTAAGGGGTTTAGTGATTTTTGGAGCAATTTCTGTAGCAGTATGGATGTGGTACACTGATACATTTGTAAATTTTGACGATTTCCACCCCACAGTGACGGAAGTTCGCGAGTCGGTCGAGTCGCACCTGAAAAATGAAACAGCGTTGTTCTTTGTTCGCGAAGGGCACCATTTTGTTTCCCCAGACATGAGCGAAGCGTGGAAAAAAGATACAAGATCTTGGATTAATTCTACAGGTCATTTCATCATGACAGGGGTTTCTGGTGGTTTGGGTAACCGTATGTTTCAGTTTGCGTCAATGTATGGAATTGCAAAACGTAACAACATGACTCCAGTCGTGCTTGAAAGCATACAGATACGGGAAGTGTTTCGAATTCCGGATTATATTCCCCGATCTTTACCGCCTGGTGTTAAACTTGTGAAATTCCACGAGAAGAAATACGCTTTTTATGACAACAGGACGGAGACATTGTACAAGAAGGGCCAATCAGTGCAATTGTTTTATTACCTGTGTTCTTGGAAATATTTCCAAAATGTCGAAGATGATCTGAGGCGACATTTTCGTTTCCGAAATGAGGCACATTTCCGCAAACAAATTGATGCTTTTTTTGACACAGCCTTACTAGAACTTGGGATAAACAACAAAGGGGAGAAAGTAACGTACATTGGAATTCATGCACGGTATGGAAAAGACATGCGCATAGTATATGAACATATGGGTTATACCGTGGCGCCATCTAGTTACTACACCAAAGCCATACGGTACTTTGAGAATATCTATAAAAACATCCTGTTTATTGTAGTGTCTGATGATATGTCTTGGTGCAGAAAGAATATTCAGCACCCACGAATCCGGTACAACCCATTCAAGGACCCCATACTGAGTTTAGCTCTCTTAGGAAGTTGTAACCACACCATAATGTCAGTGGGTACCTTTTCTTGGTGGGGCGCGTGGTTGGCCGGGGGAGACGTGGTTTACTATAAAGACTGGCCCAAACCTGGCACCCATTTGTGGTGGCGCACCAACCATGAGGACTATTTTCCCCCAAAATGGATTGGAATGTCAGGATAGGATAGCATAAACACTGCGGTTCTGTGAGGTACAGTATTCTGTGTGAATTTTTTGGCGTAAAGACAACCCCGTGCATATAGCAGTATACGCTACGTGTACAAATTTTGTTCCTGCATGCCAAAATGAAAAAGCGCCATTTGGTTACGTAAGTGTCTGATCATATACCACAACAGAAAACACATGTAGATGTAAAATTGAATCAGTGCTGGATTTTTGTTCTATACACGTTTTTAAAAAGTTGAGTACAGCTTCAAATAATTCAGTTTTTTTTTTTGTGAGAGTTCTGATATTTCCTCTTGTGAAATGCACCGCTGAATCGTATTACATACCCACAAACAAAAGAGCTTATGCTACATTGTACCGGTGCAGCTTTATACGAGACTCAACCGAGCTTGGATTAACTGAGAATTTGACGGCAAAGAATAAGATTTTGACCTTAAGTGGCAAAGTTTTTATTTTCCTGGAGATTTACACTTCATCATCAAGGTCCTCCGCATCTAACCCCGTCCACAGCATTACGATCCAAGAACACGTTTTCAGTTCTAAAATGCTAGTTTTTGAGTCATTCTCGTATTGGAGATGGAAAACGGTGAAAAAGTCGCTGTTAAAAATACGGATAACAGTATAACAAACCTTGCATGTATTTTTGTGGGTTGGATGCCACAAATAGGAATAAACGAGAATGAGAGCAAAGCTGTTGCCAGCATGGAAGCTAGTTTTTTTTAAATCTGTGCACATTATAGCTAGACGTACAAAGTTTATTCTTGCACACCAAAATAAAAAAGGCAATATCAGAAAGATGATTTAAGTCATAGCATGGTGCATATTTTATTATGTCTGTGCTTTTTTAATGACCGCAGGTTCTGTGAAGCATAAAACAGCTGTATGCCACTTAGTACACGTACAGGTACATACGAAACTGAACCGAGCTTGGATTAGCCGAGAATTTTCACAGTAAACAATGAGTTTTAAATCTTAAATAGCACAATTTAAATTCTCTTGGAGATTTACTCTTCATCATAAATGTCCCCCACGTCCAACACCGTCCACAGAATTACGATCCACAAACACGTTTTTAGTACTATGTTCCTTTTAATTTGAGTCATTCTCGTTTTGGAGATGCAGATTTGTACAGTAAAAAAAGTTGCTTGCTATTAAAGATACTGATAATAATATATCAAATCATGCATGCATTTTTGTGGGTTGGATGTCACAATTAGGACAAAATGAAAATGAAATGAAAGCGGTTTCCAGCATGAAGACTATCGTTTTTTAATCTTACGGGCGCCTGCAGGTACAAGTCTGTTTATACTTAATAACCTACAATCTTCATTTCTGCACACAAAAATAAAATGGAAACAATTTCACATTGACTGTGTATGGCATGATATGAACTGACTGAGCACATTTACGCTTACAATCCCAGAATGCCTGCAGCGACCCTGAAACATGCAGCAATAGGTTTAGTTATAACCGCTTACGTATATATATGAAAAATTAATAATGGCGTCTGAGCTAATCAAGGAGTTCCAAAAATTGTCAACAATTATAGCAATTGATGTAACAGTACTGGTGTGGCACATTGATACATTGATAACTGTTGACGAAGTTCATCCCCCAGAGATGAAACCCATCAAATCACTCCTGAAAAATAAAACAGCGCTGCTTACTGCAAGAGGAGAAAACCCAGCATTCAATCAGATACTAGTGCCAGGACAAGGGAGTTAAGACACGACACAAGGTAAAAACTGCAAACAAAACACCGAACACATCTCGTAAAGGATACTAGGTATACCCCCCCCCGGAAAACCTTATTGACACCGCCAACCCCCCGGACAACCCCCTTGACACCCCCCCCCGGAAAAACCCCCTCCCAAACACACACATTCCACTGGCCCAAACCTGACACCCACTTGTGGGGTGACACACCAACCATGAGGATTTTTTCTCCCCCAAGGTGGATTGGAATATCCGAATATGATATAGCATTAACATGGCGGATCCACTTAGTGTTCTATTCCGTTACATGCTTTTTCACTAGCTAAAAATACCACCGCAGCCGTATACCTGTGCACAGTATGGTCTTACAAAGTTTGTTCATGCACACCAAGATAAAAAGATAGCAATTCCATAATAAAGATAATATTACTCAATATATGATTATTAAATAATGGTGTCTGACCTTAATTATTTAATTGAATGCAGGATCTGTGCAGCTGTATACCAACGTACATCCATGACTTAACCGAACTGAGAATTTCATTGGAGAAAAAATAAGATTTAGGCCTTTATATGGCAGAGTTTTAATTTGCCTGGAGATTCCACCTCTTTATTCATCAACATCAAGGTCCACCCTATCCAAGCCTGTTCACAGAATTATGATCTTAAAAAACGTTTTTCAGTTCTATTTTTTGAATCAGCCTCGAAATGGATGAAGAGTCATTTTTGATATTAAATGTGTCTCACTGACAATATTTGGTTACATTCCCGAAATGCGTCTCGCGAATCATATTGACTTACCCGCATCAGCTTTGGTTAAATTTCATTTTGAAAGCAAAAAGAATGGCGACAGCAGCAAAAATAGTTCGGTTTTTAGTGATTTTCGGAGCAATTGGTTTGACACTATTGGTGTGGTACTCTGATACATTTATCCGTGTTGGCAATTTCCATCCCCCAGATATGAACACTCGCGAATCACTCCTGAAAACTGAAACGGCGCTGCTGACTGCCAGAGAAGAAAAGCCTACGCCTCGACATTGGGGTTCTGACACGACGCAAAGTCACCTACAAGGCAACATCTCCATGTCAAACAAAATTCCCATCACATCTCCAGGGTCCTTGGACAGAAAAGATTTAGCCAGTGAAATCAAACCAAATACACTGAAGACGAAAACTGAATCCGTGAAAACTGAAAATATGCATGAAGCGCACCGTTTTGTTTCCCCAGACATGAAAGCAGCGCTGGACCCAGACATGAAAGCAGCGCTGGAAAAAAGATCAAAATCTTGGATTAATTCTACGGGACTTTTCATCATGACAGGGGGTTTTGGTCGCACGGGTAACCGTATGTTTGAATATGCGTCAATGTATGGAATTGCAAAACGAAATAACATGACACCGGTCCTGCTTGCAAACGAGGAGGTACGAAGAGTGTTTCAAATTCCGGATTACATTCCCCACTCTTTACCGGCTGGTGTTAAACTTGTGAAATTCCGCGAGAAGAAATACGCTTTTTATGATAACAGGACGGAGACATTGTGCAAGAAAGGCCAATCGGTACAGTTATTGTATTATTTGCAGTCCTGGAAATATTTCCACAATGTCGAAGATGATCTAAAGCAACATTTTCGTTTCCGAAAGGAGGCAGAGTTCCGCAGAGAAATCAGTGCTTTCTTTGACACTGCGTTACTAGAACTTGGGATGAACAACAAAAGGGAGAAAGTAACGTATATTGGAATCCATGCCCGGAATTGGAAAGAAGTGCACACGAACGCACATGAACGTGGTTATAACGTGGCGCCATCTAGTTACTACACCAAAGCCATGCGGTACTTCGAGAATATCTATAAAAACATACTGTTTATTGTACTGTCTGATGATATGTCTTGGTGCAAAGAGAACATTCAGCACCCTCGAATCCGATACAACCCATTCAAGGACCCCATACTGAGTTTAGCTCTCTTAGGAAGTTGTAACCACACCATAATGTCGGTGGGTACCTTTTCTTGGTGGGGCGCGTGGTTGGCCGGGGGAGACGTGGTTTATTATAAAGACTGGCCCAAACCTGGCACCCACTTGTGGTGGCGCACCAACCATGAGGACTATTTTCCCCCAAAATGGATTGGAATGTCCGGATAAGATAGCATAAACACTGCGTTTCTGTAAGGCATTCTGTGTGAAATGTTTCGGCGTACAGACAACCCCGTGCTTATACCAGTATACCCTAGGTGTACAAATTTTGTTCTGGCATACCAAAATGAAAAAGTGCCATTTGGTTACGTAAGTGTCTGATCATATACCACAACAGAAAAGACACGTAGATGTAAAATTGAGTCAGTGCTGGATTTTTGCTCTAAACACGTTTTAAAAAATGGACTACAGCTTCGAATAAATTCAGTTTTTTGTTGTTGTGTTGTTGTTGTTGAGTTGTGATATTTCCTCTAGTAAAATGCGCAGACTCTCTGAATCGTATTACATACCCACAAACAAGAGAGCTATATGCTACATTGTACCGGTGCAGCTTTATACGAGACTCAACCGAGCTTGGATTAACTGAGAATTTGACGGCAAAGAATAAGCTTTTAACCTTAAATGGCAAAGTTGTTATTTTCCTGGAGATTTACACTTCATTATCAAGGTCCCCCACATCCAACCCCGTCCACATAATCCAAGAACACGTTTTTAGTTTTAACCCAGCGGGCACTCAACGTTGATTCAACACTGAGGATAGGTTGAGATGATGTTGATCCATCAATATTGATAGATCAACAAGATCTCAACATTGAATCAACCTTTTCTTGTCAACCAATTGTCAATGTTGATAGATCAACAGGGTCTCAATGTTGATTTAACCTTTCTTTGTCAATCAATTTTCAATGTTGATAGATCAACAAGATTTCAACATTGAATCAACCTGTGTTTGTAAACCCTTTGTCAATGTTGACATATCAACTGGATCTCAACATTGGGTGAACCTTAACGTTATAACACTTTGCTATATATAATATAGCTTTACTTTCTGAGGGGAGGGGGGCAATGTAGGACCTGACCTTAAGTGAAAATGGTTAACTTGACTGAAATAAAAATAAAAAGTATATATATATATAGCAACATACTCATGATAGAAATGTTGGAATTTATCATTATTTATAATATATAATTATTGAATTCATAATTATTCATGCAGTGTCCATACTCACAATATTGTTAAGTGTTTCATACGGAAATAATTCAGAATTACGAGGATATTAAAATTTGGATTTTCGATAATTTAAGTTGAG